TGAGTGCTTGGGAATGCGCGATTTTGCCCTCCGCGATTATGTCATCGCGGTAGGGTCGCGTTTTTCCCTAGCACTTAGAACGGCACGATTTAGTCTTCGTGCTTATGTCTCCACGCAGAAGGGCTTCGCGGATTTCTGGTGGAACCAGGTAAGGACCAGCATTCAATCTAATACAAGCACTCTAAATGATTTTAAGGCCAACCAACTTTTAAGCAGATTCTGAATGAAAACTCATAAACAAAGCACAGAGGGAAGAAGTCTACCTAAGTTTCTCTGCTCACCTAATTAAAAGAATCAAACTCCCCCATTCCTAAGTGTCACCGGTCACATTGTCCAATGAAGGTGGAAGGCAGGTTCTTCTCCTCTTTCAATGGGCCACCTGTTTCAATGACCTTGGTTCCCACAAGAAAGCATTTTGTTTTGACCGGAGCCTGGCTATCTACTTCCCTGTTCCCGTCCCCCTTTCTGGCTTCGTGGCAACTATGAGGCGGCCCAAGCCAGGTTCGCTTCAGAGTTGACACTCAGAGTGACACGATAAACTTTCAAAGATTTGGTATAATAGCATCCCTTTAGTTCTTAAAATGGCAGGTTTTAGTGCTTTTACTTGTATTGAGATTGTGATGAAAATAATACCCGAAACTAGCACTTCGCTTTTTGAGATTTCTTGGTGAAAATTCGGTTAATGTTTTACTTATTTTTTTTCCCTCTCTTCAACAAATAGCTTTTTCATCCTGATCAATACCGTGGACTAATTTTTACCAGCCCAAGAGCAGTAGAAGCTGTTAAATTATACCTAGAGGATAGTTGTAAAAAAGAAGGTGAGCAGAATGTGGTTTCCTTGGTTTTTACTTTAGTAGATTGTTTGGATCCATTTATTGTGGTTTGTTCACTAATGCATACGGCTTAGCATAGCATGACATGTGAAATTTGCATTGTTTCATTTTAGCTTGGAACAATTATCTAAGAGAAAGATGGAATACTAAACCTGTTTATGTGGTAGGGAAAGCTACTGCTGGATTAGGTAAGTCACTTCTTTACATTCTTACAAACCGTTTAAGAACATCATGGTTTTTAACAGATAAACACTTACTTTGGCTGCAGGACAAAAAAGTTAAAACAAGATTAGCAAATGTATTGTCTTACTCTTTGCTCCTTAATCCTCTATGGCAGATCAAGGCTTCAATCAGCTTATCTAAAACTCTTGGGCAGCAATCCAGGGCTGGAGTCTCCCAGAAGGAAGTCCTCCCTTAGTCATGCAATATCGAGTATTTTAAGGCCAGTCACTCTCCCTTAATCTAGGATGCTTGAGAAGGCTGCTCTTGTGTGGATAAAATGGAAGTCACATTGAGCTCTTGAAAGAAAGGTGGGATTTGCAGCTAATAAATAAGTAAGGTATCGAAGCGGTCACACTGCTCATATAAGTATGAGCAGGCTGACCATTTGATGCCTTACTTATTTGTCAGGATGTGTTAGAGGATAAAACACATTGTTATGTATGAAGTATGTTATGTGGTGCCCAGCAGAGGTGGGTTCCTACCAGTTCGCACCTATTCGGTAGAACCAGTTCGTCAAATCTACCGAACCGGTTAGAAGAGGTTCCACCAGTGGACCC